AGAGACAGGGTTTCACCATGTTGACCAGGATGGTCTCGATCTCTTGACCTCATGATCCACCTGCCTTGGCCTCCCAAAGTGCTGGGATTACAGGCTTGAGCCACTGCGCGCCGGCCACCACTCCCTTTTTTAAGCTAACGGTCTTTTTGTTGCAGGAAAAAAAGATGAATTTGCACCTTGGAATGGATGTAAATCTCATGTCTTGAGCAATGTTGGTTGCTCAAGTCCACCGCCACAGCCTGTTCTGCCAGCTCCAAGTCATGATTCCAGAGTTTTTAAAAACGGTCCAAAGGTGCTCCCTTGATAAAGGTTTCATTTTAAAAATTTGTGTGAATGGCAGTGTAAGGTTTATTGCCGAGGTAAAATGAGGAAACTGAGGCAAGTATAAGAAAATGAGAAGTTAATTTATTCAGCTCCCTGGCGAGGTTCTGTGGTCCAGGAAGGGGCCAAAGAAGTCATGCCCGGCTGTTTAAGTCATGGGGTTTTATGGGGAGAGAAGGCGATTGATTGGCTATTGGGGAAACAAAGCAAAGGCAATTTTATTGGCTGTCAGGAAGCAGGAAGTACCTGAAACTAGTTGCCATTGGTAGGCAGGTGGGACTTTGGGTAAGTGGGCCTTGATTGGCTGTTGGGGAAACAAAGTAAAGGTAATTTTATTGGCTATTAAGAAGCAGGAAATGTTTGGAGCTAGTGGTTATGGGTAGGCAGGCAGGACCTTGGTTTTTGATTGACTGTTGGGGAAACAAAGTGAAGGCAATCTTATTTGCTATTAAGAAGCACGAATTGCCTGGAGCTAGTGGTCATAGGTAGGCGGGCAGGACCTTGAGCTTTGATTGACTGTTGGGGAAACAAAGTGAAGGCAATCTTATTTGCTATTAAGAAGCAGGAATTGCCTGGAGCTAGTGGTCATAGGTAGGCAGGCAGGACCTTGGTTTTTGAGTGACTGTTGGGGAAACAAAGTGAAGGCAATCTTATTTGCTATTAAGCAGGAAATGCCTGGAGCTAGTGGTCATGGGTAGGTGGGCAGGACCTTAGGTAAGTGGGCCTTCCGGGGGCATACAGAGCAGACTGCTACTGGGCAGGGTCTGATGGGGCTTCTTTAAAAAATTTTCCTGCAGGGTTTATCAACAGTGGGCTGGGGGTTAAATGCATAATTTAGTGCTGAATGTGGGCTTGGGTCTGGTATGTGGAGGCAGATGCTGAGAAGCCGTGTGGCAAGGCTAGATAATGAGCTTGGGTGGTGATGTAGTTATCAGACGCAGAGAGAGATGGACGAGTCCGTTTAACCCTCTGCGAGGCAGCCGGCCTTACAGGCAGCAGCCTGGCTCTGTTTCACTCCAGTGCAGTCAGGCAACACTAAGCCAGCCTGCATGGGCACGCCCAGGTGCTTCGCTGTGTGTTGGGGCACACAGGCACAGAGGGCCGCTGTATGGTGGGCTAGGCCCAGTGGCTCACCCATCACCTGTTTTCTGCACAACCTCCTGGGGTTGAGCAATTTTAAGTGTTTGTTTGTTTTCAGTAAACAGCTGTGACTATACCAACACATTGAGTTAGAACCATTTGAATGTTTTGAATCTGCTTTTTCGTTGTTCATTTTTAGTACCATTAACTAAAGCATTTATTTGGGAAACAAGGTGTTGCAGTTTGGGTACACTAAGACACGGTAGCCCTGGGCAGTGTCCTGTAAGGCAAACACTGGAGAGGTTTCTGAGTTGTTTTTTTGTTTGTTTGTTTGTTGTTTTTTGAGATGGAGTCTCTGTTGCCCAGGCTGGAGTGCGGTGGCGTGATCTTGGCTCATTGCAATCTCCACCTTGTGGGTTCAAGCGATTCTCCCGCCTCACCCTCCCAAGTAGCTGGGATTACAGGCACACATCACCATGCCTGGTTAATTTTTGCATTTTTAGTAGAGACGGGGTTTCACCATGTTGGCCAAGCTGGTCTTGAACTGCTGGCCTCAGGTGATCCACCCACCTCGGCCTCCCAAAGTGCTGGGATTACAGGTGTGAGCCACCACACCCGGCCTGGAGAGATTTGTATAGGGGATTTCCACAAAGGGTTTTTGGAGGCAGTTCATTGGCTGGGCAGAAATCCTAAGTCAAACCCATTCTGACTGGCTAGTTCTGGGCACTCCCAGCTGGGGGACGTGGAGGCCTTTTGTGCTGGCCTCAGCTGTTTGTCCAAGTATATGGGCACATCCTGTGGACTGGCCGTTGGCAGACGTGAGTGCAGACCGCCTGTGGCCGCCCAGCTCCACTTCAGAAAGCCTTAGCCTTACTGACTTCATTTTCTTTCACATGTCCCCCTTTTGATCAAGTCCTTCCTCCAGAAAGTGTCACATTTCAATCAGCGAATCTGATGCTGTCCATTGTTGCTGGGATGGACTTGTCCCAGGAAGTCACGTCCCTCGTGGCAGACATGACCTCAGTCAACCTCCACTGCTATCTGCTTCCCCTTTGGGCCAGTTCTCATTTCAAGTCTGATTGTTTGAATTCCAGCAGTGGGTAGGAGATTTCTTTAAATGAGAAACCTGAATCCAAGGGTCAA